AGATCATAAAATAATTTTGTTACTTTCTGGTCATCTTTCCCGGTTTATAAAAAAATTCCAGTGGGCCTACTACTAGATCTATGTATCTGAAGAACATTTTACTTGCCTTTATTAGCTTTTTTCATGTAGGCCCTACATGAAAGCATAGAATATATAGTTTCACACCAAGGAGTTTAGAACTAATGGAGCCTCCTCTCTCTCTTCGCGGCGCCGCGAGCAGTACGCCGCGTTGGGGATCAAATATGGCGACTGAGTGTGGGCTAAATCACGAACTGTGGCGTTTCTTTTTATAGAATTTCATCGGGCTGGGCCACGTTGTGGGGGTGGGCGGGGTGGGGGAATGCACGCAAGGAAGAGGGGATGGGACTGGGATGAAAGAGGAGGGGCGGGCCTTGGGAAGGGACGAAAGAGAATGGGGGAAATTAAATAAAAGAGAGAGACAGAGAGAGAGAGAGAGACAGACAGACAGACAGACAGACAGACAGACAGACAGACAGACAGACAGACACAGAGAGAGACAGAGAGAGAGAGAGAGAGAGAGAGAGAGAGAGAGAGAGAGAGAGAGAGAGAAAGAGAGAGAGAGAGAGAAAGAGAGAGAGAGAGATTGTGATCAACTGACGGCTGACGGATAATGACAGGGAGAAAAAAAAATTCTGTGTGTGATACGGACTGTTTAATTATTTAAGTTTGATGTTATACTTTAAAAATCAAGAAGATGTGTAAAATAAGAAGAAAACTTGTCCGAGTAACATAAAATCATCAAACATACCAAATTATTAAGATAATGTTTCAAGATGCTGAAAGATTTAATTATAAGAAATATTGGATAAAAATATACTTTTAAACTAATTTTAAGATATGATTGCATTATGATTCTAGGCCATAACTAACTTTATGTGTAAGGAATAGCGAACACAAAAGAGGGTCGATGCCAGCTTTACCTGATTGCTAACAGTATGTCTTGGTCTATAAAAAGTAATATTATTGATTACAATAATTTTGTTTCCTGGTTTTCACAAACGAACAAGGACGACGAACAAAGACGGGAATGGTTAACCTTCTTGACCAGTCACAATGATCTCTGTTTAATATGATGAGACACGCATTTTCACTGATCCAGTTGTGGGTTTTTTAATCAAGATCGATCCCATTGCTCGTTATTTAATTCTGTCCTTCATCTCTGACCGACATCACCGCTCACAGTCATGTCGTAACTCATCGATTGTGTTGTGGACGCAGCAATAAAAATTCGAAGAATGAAAGGCAGGCTCACTGCCAACATTACACAAAGACGATGGGGCAGTCCCGAGTACGGACGCCAGTCTGTCTAGCAAATTCAGGTGCAGACCTGATAGATAAGTGAGACGGTCGGGGAATCAAAAGCAAAGACGAAATCCCAGTTCGATGTGACTTTGTATGAGGCGGCCTTGGCCCTACCTAACGAATCATGCCTTGGCTGTAAGGTCAGGCGGTAGGCTCTTAATTGCCAGTTCGATGTTCGGCAAAATCAAAGGAGTCGAGGAGTTCACACCTGGGCGTGATACCTTTGTCGTAAAATCCTTGCGCCTGGAGCAAACTTGTACCTCGCATCGAGGTTTTGAGCGGAGGTGTGATCGCATGCATGAGCGTGGATGACCTTTGAAGGTTTTTTTTTGTTTTGTTCAGTAAAGTATGATATTTTGGAGAGCAGCGTTTTTAGTCCCTTATTATACTCCAGAGGGGAAAAATGTATCTTAGTGATGACTCTTGTGTAGTAAAATTTGTTGTTGCTTTGTTGGGTTTATTTTTCAACAGCAGAATCTTAAGTTAACCGGAATTGTGGGATCTTAGGTGAAGACTACAACAATAAAATTAAATCGAGTGTAGACATAGTTCTATCAAACAAGACTCAAACTCTTATCCACCCTACCCTACCCTCTCCCCTCATCTGATATGGTTCGGTGTTTCTTTAACATAGAAAATATTCATCATTATTGTTGTTGAGTATTTGATTTCATATTCTAATGGAGCCCCCAGATATCTACATTTAGACAACATTTGTATCTAATTTGCACACACAAAGGAAAGCAAAATCTTTAATAACATTTGTATCTAATTTGCACACACAAAGGAAAGCAAAATCTTTAATTAAAATGTATATACACACATAATAACTATATATATACATAAATAATTATATATATATATAGAATAAGAATAAGAATACTTTTTAAAAAATCAAGTATCTCGGTCTTTCTTCTGGGGCGTTGTATCCCTTTCAGCCTGGGATGGCCTTGGCAGGAGCGCCTGAATGTTAATGATCTATATTGTGTTGCTGGAGGCATAAAAACACTTTCATTCAAATCTTTTTAAAAGGAAAACAACTTACCTGTGAAAACTTCGGTCCACTGCAGCATCATATCGGTTCTTACACTTAAATACAACACAGGTGCAAGGCATTTTTACTAATTGTCTTGCCTAATCTGAAAGACCTCGGAATAAAACCTTCTTTCTTATCTAGATTTCAGTGCGTGAGCCGGGGATTCGCGCAGCGCAGGTAGCCCACAGTTCCGCCGCGAGAGAGGGCTCCTATCAGGCGTGCGGTGCCACCCACAGGGCTTCCTCCATTACTTTTAATCTCCTTGTTTCACACATATATATATATGCACAATACTTTGAAAAAGAAAGATAAGGTCATTGTTTTTTTTGTTTTTTTTACGGAATCCGTTTTACGTTGAGAAAAGCGGTAAAAACAAGTTTAAAAATTTTAAGAATGCCCATTATATTAGTATTAGGAATCCGAAATTACTACCTAGTTGGCTTACTCTTTAATAACCATGAGCAATTAAGGGAAAAAAAGACAATGATATAGGATTTGTCTAAATATGACCATTAGCAATAAAGATGTTGCCCATTTTGTCCAATTATCCTTGCAGGTAAAATCACCCTGCACTGTACCTCAATAAGCATAAAAGGAATATTTCTGTGACTTTGTATAAAGGTGTGGCCTAAATAAGGTAAGGGAGGGGGGTTTAGCTTATTTAGGCCACAGGTGAGGCCTAAATAAGGTAAGGGAGGGGGGTTTAGCTTATTTAGGCCATATGTGGCCTAAATAAGGTCACCCTTTATAAAAACCACCTACAAATGCTAAAGGCACCAATTTAAAAGATCTTGTAAAGAAAATCATGTAATGATTGGATTGTTTTTTCCTTTTCTTTCATTTTTAAATCTAATCTTCCCAAGGATCCACTCAACTATGAGTACTCAAAGCCACACACAAAGTACACCTTACACTATGGAGCAGTTTCAAGAGACAATAGGGGCGGGGTGAGGTAGCTCAAATAGACAGCATTTGATGAGTTGATATAACCTGAAAGGTGAATATGGGCTTTGCCAACGAACCAAATGTCATAGAGGAAATGTTCTCGCTTTTCAAGACGATTGTGGAATCATGAACACATTGCTATCCTCTGATGATAGCTTCGCGAAAGGGAAAATGGTACAGTTGTAGATGAAGATTTGCCTTGAGAATGCCGACCGTTGACCATTGACATGTAGGAAAGTCACTGCTGTAGACTTCGTCTAGGGGGCTCTCGTGGCCTAGAGGTTAAGGTGTTGGCCTCTCATTCAAAGGGTCCCGGGTTCGAATCCGGGTAGCGACCGAAAAATTTTCTTCTCTAAATTTATCTCCTTTCACCTCATTTCCTGCTCTCTAGCAATGTTGTCATCTGCTTTCGTCTCCTCTTTCTGCCCCCGCCCCATCACCTCCTTTGCCCCTTCCTCTGGGCTCCTGATTCTTTCAGCAGCCTTTCTACTGTTACTCCTTCGCTTCTTCGTACTGCTGTCTTTCAGCCACACCCCTGATCTTCTGGTAGGAAAGATCTACACCTAGCCTTCTCGGACAAGGGCGAAAAATCTCGGAGGGCCCGTGTGCAAGTTGCGCACGTTAAAGATCCCTTGGTGTTCTAAAATCGATATAAGAGTAGGCTTCGGCCACCACTCGCGCAAAATTCAAAATTTCCCACCAACTGAAAATATTAGATGTGTCCCGCACGCTCGTATGACCTTATGCAGTTGCGAGCACCGTAAAACACTTTACAAAAACATTACAAAGACATCGTCTCATGGGGCTTATCCACTGAATTCGGCTCCTTGGCGACGTTTAAAGGGGTGCAAATGGTGTGTGTTTGACTTAAAGTAAGTTGAAGAGATTGTTTGGTCTGGGAATTTTTTGTTCTGATTCTCTACAGGTCCTAACTGATGGCAAAGAAGGCGTTACGGGCATTTTAACATTATTTCCCTACCTCGTGCGAAATGAGTTGGAGGGGAGGAAACTTTCAATATAAAAAGCTCCTTGCTCTTTACTAATCTTAATCATGATCTCAGCCGGCACAGGAAACAATGAGAAAAACTATCTGCAAACTTCTGTTGGCCTGTTAGACAACTGTAGTTTGCAACATGGCGCAATCGTTGGGATTTTTTGTGGTAGGCCTAATGCGAACTAGTGCGTCTTGCTATGAAAATGGGGATATAGCTGAAAATGGGTTGTTTTTTTACGTGCTATGTAGAGCAAGGCTATTTGGTGGATTTATCTAAAATGAATATCAGACAAATTCCTTTTACTTCCAAATGTTTGAGTACAAATTTGAAACAAAAAATTTCAGAGTGGAGGAAAATATTAACAAAAAAAGTTGTACAGTTTTTTTTTTTTTGATCACCCTGTATTTGGTGATTTGGATAGTGTAAGTGTAAGAAGTATTTCGCATTTGTGATAATGTCCATTGTATAAGCTCTAGGGCTTCATCTAGAACATTTTACAAATTGAAAGAAATTTGTGCCATACATATATGCTGGTACCATGGAATAGGTGGATGCCATTCCATACTTGTGTATTATTAGGGTGAATTTTCTCGTCAGAATGTAATCAGTAATCAAGGCTATTTCTAAAATTTCACATTTAACATTCATATAAAAGACATGATACACACAAGTACAAAACATGTAAATAACACAACACTTCCTTGTAAACCGAATACTATCTTTTATTTTCAAATAAAGGCTTTGCATAGTGCAATTCACAACAATTTCCGGCTTGATTACAATGTCTCATTTTAAGTAATAATGTATTGCATCACAATAAAATTCTGGAATGTTTTCATTTTGATATCAGGTTGTAAAAAAAAATGTACTAATCCCCGGAACAACATATTGACAATATCCCTATCAAAATGGAGCCCGACCGGCTTATCTTTAGTGACTTTGATTTTACAAACATTACCGTACAGGAATCCAGTTAGATAAAATATATGTAGAAGAAAAAAAATGTATTCAACAATAAACTAATACTATGTACGTTAACAAGACACACTGTGTGAGGTGATCTAGTCAAAAGATTTTTAAAAAACTCCCAGCAATGTACAGAGAAGCTGAATTTTATCAACAGATATATTCTTCACAAAGAGCTTGTCAAATATAAACTTTTTTTTCAATAACAATAAGTTGAAAAAATACTTTTGATTAACTTCAGATAATGGGAGAGTAACCCATTCGAGAGATTCAATGGACGGTAGATGATCAGCTGCAGATCCTTCGGAAATCCTATTGAAAAACAAATCTCCTTATCTAAAAATGGCAATGTTTTTGGACTTGCTGTGAGCGTTATATAAGGTATATGATTACTATACTTGTAAAAACAAAAATAAATATCTGGGAAACAGAGACACTTTCAAATACAATACAAATGTACACACTGTTTTTGGTAATTTTAAAAAAGTGAGAGAATAAAAAAGAAGTATAAAATCCAAGGACTCTCCATGCATTTCAAAAGACTCAACTCAAGTCAGGAACATCACTAGAAACATCTACAGAGGTGAGATTATGAAAAAAAAACAACCAGTTCTGAGTACAACAACAATTGTTATGATCTTTTTAGTTTCGCATTTTTCTATCAAAATAGCCCATATACGTTAAGTACTACAGCTGGCAACACCAACATCATGATTTGTTTTGTTTGTAAATTCAGAGATTCCCAAGAAAAATTAAAAGCAAGAACAAGACGTAAAAAAAGAATAAACAAAAATTTGAAACTTCTTGATATGAGATGGTGGTCTCAGCAGGCTCTTCTTGTAAATCCTGTAATCACTTTAGCAGAAAAACAAAAGAATTTACGAAAGCATAATTTTCAATAAATCACTTTGAAAATCACCAGATTAGCACAGCCAAATCAATGAGAATGTCGAGATACATGCAGACATCCGAAAGCCATGTTTATACAATTTCATTCTCCTCTTTAAATGCGTACCTGAAGACAAGATTTCATAACACACTTCTATCAAAGAATATGCTCTCTCAGGGTGTGGTAAAGCTTCTGTGTTCTCAACGAAAAGATCAACAAAAATAAATATATATGCTACACAAGAAAACAAGCAAAAAGTCAACAAAAAAAAAGCGCAAGTCAACAGTTTGCTCTTTCGAGTTTGCTGAAACTGAAGACCATAAAGTTGGCTGAGTGTGTTGAGCGTCTCAGCCTCACACGTAGATCACTTCCATCTCGGAGGTCACCTCTGGGGGGGGGGGGGGGGGGAGAGAAGAAAAAATAAACTCGGTTAAAACTCATGATTCCCTAACGCATGATGCACTTTTTATCATAAAATATGGGTGGCACAACCAACCATCAAAATGCATCGTATTCTCATTGAAATGAATCGTATTTTGTGGCACAACAAATACTTCATTTTGAAAACAATGTTCAAGTCAGACAGAGAAAACACTTTGACACTTGGTTTTGTTGACCTTTTTTTCTTTCTTTGCACTGTGTGATAGTAGTATCCAATTCCCTCGTCCCATTCAATAGCTCAACCCGATTACTGCCTCACCCCAGACTGTATAAACCCTTTGATAGGTTAAAAAGCAGGTCTGGCAGAGAAAGGGTTAATTGAAACAGTCGGACCATGTTTTTAGAAGCTTTTCCGGCAACGAATGAAGGATCAAACCTTTATTGTTAAAGTCTCAATACCAAAGTTACCCCTAAGGTCTACATCTAGCTCTTTGTGATCTGATGCTTTCTTTGACGTCAAAAACATTGGTCTGCCCATCCAGTACAGCAGACTGGTGAAATCTTCCTCTATTTTGTTTTGTATGGGTAAAGAAAAGCATATCGACACAATAGTGGTAATTTAGTACTGGGAAATGGTAAGACAGACAGACAGACAAAACAACAGAGGGAAAGTAAAAAAGTAGGACCAACAAGTGGCGCCCTCCAACCAACCGCCTTCCTCTATAATTTCAGCCTCACTGTACATAACCATAATATTGATAATATCAATTTTTCCCCCCCCCAAAAAAATTGTGATAAAAATATTTAATAAAACTAATCTTATACAAGTTTTTAGAGGGTGGTTGGTGGGTGATCTGGTGTGGTGGGCTCCTTTTTTCCTATAAAACACCTATCGTCCACATATCTTTCTTCTTATAAGAGTTTGCTACTCTCTTGTGACACCTCTAATCTGCAGCACTTACATGACTTAATTGTGTAGCAAGTGCCGTAAAAAAATTAAACAGTTTTTTTAAAGCCATTTGATTCATGACCAATAAATGTCCAGTGTTTGATTGGGCCATCTTGACTGTTGACAAGTTCAGAATGAAGACAATGGAAAATGCAATTGTTCTCAGCTCACACATAAGCTGCCTCAGATAAAAGAGGAAGAACGCTTCTGGGTTGAAATGAATTGATAAAGGAATGTTATCATCTCACCAAAGGTCCTGTTCTAAAAATAACTCCCTCACCGTACAATGAGGGGCATAACTGTAAGAAATATACATTCTTAGTGTCAGATTTGGAAGCAAAAAGCCAGTCGTTTCAGAGAATTTTGTTGTGTATTTCACAACGGCCCATAAGAATCCATGAAAATAATTTATGCCCTCTCCTTCTCTTAACCGTTTCGCACTTACAGCGCCCGTATGCGCCCGCGCCGGTGACCCCCGCTCATTCCTATAGCGCCCGCCACGGAGTGTTTGTTTCGCTGCCGCGGGAGGCTTCTACTTTTACTATCACAGAAGTTTCACATAGCTATCTTTAGAGGAAGAGTTCCGGTTTACTATGGTGTTTTTCTTGTTTCGTTAGCACAAAGAGTCACTTTTTGAGCGGGAACAAAAGTCGGAGGAGATTTTAGTTGTAAACACGCCATCATGTCTCTAGGATGCATGGGCGCAAAGCTGCCCGATATGAGTACGGCAGAAACAAAATAAAAACACCCAAAGAGAAGTCTTTTAGGTGCTTTCACGTTTCCACCAGAGGCTTCAATCTCTGTGAATGTGTAGTATTTCTTTTGTGTGGATTACCTCTTTGTCAGTGGCAGAAACTTTGTGAGTTGAAGAAATGTATACGAGATCTAGATCTAGATCTAGACTCGGAATCCAAGACACGCATCTCAGAAAGACCTCTCATATCATTTCATACTCTACTATTCCACTTATAATTTTGTACTAGTAATTTAGCTCATTCATTTTTCTTTCAAAAAATACTATTTTCAACATTTTTGGTTGTGTTTGTGATTTTATACAATTTTTTTTTGAAAGGTACCCCTTCAATTTTCGTGGAGTTATTGCCCTTGTCTTAAGGGTGGGGGGCCACAGCTGGCCAAGCCTGGTAAGTGCGAAAGGGTTAAAAAGAGATATATATTTTCTCTCTCTCTCTGTAAATATATATATGTATATAATACTTTTTTGAGCAAAGACATCTTTTTAAAGAAAATGCTTCTACAGTGAGGAATCTTGAAACCCCAAAACAACCAAAAGTCCTTCCAAGCCCCCTACCTTTCTCCTCAATCTCCATCACCCAAACAGACTTAGAGTCGGAGCAGTGCGCAGTGATATGAACGTCCATCACATGCCTCATCACATCAACCTCGATGGGCTTGCTGATCACCTTCAGGGTGCGCTTATCGGTGCGATCATTCTTCTGCAAAAAAATAAACCAAACAACATTGACAACATCTGAAAAGTTAGTTTTGAGTTCTCGAGTAAAGAGAAGCACATTGACATAACAAGGGTCAAACGGTGCGGGAAACAAGCAAAACAGGCAGAAATAACAGACGGGGAAAAAAAAAGAAGTAGGATCTACCTGTGGCGGCCTCCCACAACATGCCCAAATTATAATATATTTGATTAACATTGATAGTTTTGAGTAAGGGTTTGGGTTAATATTTGATTTTCAAGTACTGATATCTCAGTAAATAAGGTGTGGAAAGAGTATTGAGGATATTCAAAACAAATAGATGTTGAGTGGCAAAGATGTGTTGTTTTTTTACTCTCCTGAACATTTTATGAAACTGGACTGTCTTTTATAATAGGGAGTGCTTATTTAGGCCACATATGGCCTAAATAAGGTAAGGGAGGGGGGTTCAGCTTATTTAGGCCACACATGCTCAAACTACCCTTTTCAGGCAACTGAGTTGGTTCCACTTTCATAATGGTGCACCTTTCTCATTTAGTACGGTTTTGTCTCACTGTACAACTTATAAATCATAACCATAATGAATATTGTAAAGAACAAAGCACAATACGCAAAATTTTGCTCAATCCCAATGGGTTGAATGAGGGCCAGATTTTTCCTTCATGGAGGGGCAAAAGCTAGGCTACCATTTTGGCACACTTTGGTCAAGTGAAAAGGTCAAATCCTCCAAATGGACTTCCGGGTTAAATTTGGGGTATAAAAAGTGTGTACACTACGTGGCTGAGTCAAAGTTACACTATCTTTGCCTGAGTGACACTCTCTCTTACTGTCTCGTAGTAGTACATGTAGGCTAGTAGGCCTAGTAGTAGTAGTAGCAAAGATCGTGTAGAGAATATTTGGTAGTAGATTCTATCTAGAAGGCAGTTTAGTGAACGTGCTCGCAGCAGGGCGAATCGGCCTCAATAAGCCCCATAGACTTTTGTGATCGGCCACGAAGCCTCGTGTTTTGATGGGTCTAGATCTAGATCTAAACAACTCAGTGTTATTCGCACTGCCACATCCGACAGGCCTAGATCTACATCTTTTTAAAAGGAAAAGAAAGATCATCAAAATGGTTGAATTCATGTGAAAATCGATTCGGTAGAACTAGAACTATTAAAATTTGCTTCTGAAAACAAGGCAATTTTTAAAAGAAGGCTGTTTTTATAACTCGATGAAATAAAAACTACTGGCTGTGTACTGTGTTATTCTGTATAAAAATAAATTATGAAACTTCAGGACGTATTATTATTTTCCAGCATCTTTTGACGCCTGAGCTGTAGAGGTTGAAGTTTTCACAACACTAATAGATCTAGTAATAGGCCAGGTAATAGGGCTTTCCGTAAAAAATGCATAGATCTACAAAAGCCGAACCACCGAATCGACCGAGCACCTCACTCTCCCCTACACACTGTGATAATGTGTCGCTTCGGTATCGCATTATTCAACTATTAATACGTGCGGCTATGGCAATTGGGATGTACTGACTGACAAAAAAATTCAGTTTTGTTTTTATTTTACCATATATTTGACTTTAATAGTGCAGGCGATAGCAAGATCTAGATTCCCTGTCTAGAATCAGTAGTAGCAGGCTTATGCTAGAAGCAGCCAGAGAGCCTACAACTGCTAGATCTAGATCTAACTTATTATTGCTATGCCTTTGGGCTTTGGAATTGAAATAAAACGAATTGCACAGTTCTAGTTACTTTTAGATTCAGCAAGTAACTGTATTTCCAGAGTTAATAACAAATCTCTTTTTTTTCTAAAATCTGTTTTGCGCAAACTAAAATTAGATCCAACTTTTTTTCTCTAGAATCTGTTTTGCGCAAACTTAATATTTTTTCTAACATGTATTTAGAAAGGCAAAGTGAACATACAAATAGATTCAGAAGTATTACATTCTTGTTCGTGTCAATACCACGTTTGAAACCAGAAAAGTGGACTCAAGTATGAGTCTTTATGCGCGTACACACATCGTGTCATTTGTTTTTTATGTTGAGCAAATTTGCTGGTGAATTTTTTGTTGAACTGTGCATCCTTCATGATGGACCATTCATGATTAAAATACAAGGCGATCCAAAAAAAAAAGTACAACTTTTTTTCAAAATATCTCACACAAAATTTGTACTAGAATGTTGTAATTTGGAACAGATATAATTCATTCAAAAGGAATTTGTTTGACGTAAAATTCACAAGAAAGAAACTTATTTTCGAAACGGAAATGGCTTTTATAAAAGGGAGTGCTTATTTAGGCCACATATGGCCTAAATAAGGTAAGGGAGGGGGTTTAGCTTATTTAGGCCACCCCTAAACCCTTTATAATAATAATAATAAAACTCCAATAATATATTCTGAACCCTCTACACAACCTTGGTCAGCATTGCTCTCATCCTCTTCAGCACTAGAAAAGTCTAGATCCGACCTGGCCAACAGACATACAAGGAAACTCGAAAATTAGGGTTTGGTTATTAGTATTAGGCTGTTGACCAGACAACCACAACCGCAACATGATGTAGACCAGACTGCTAGTGTTGCTGTTGCTTGGGTGGAGCCTCAAAGAGAGGAAGAGGGAGGGAGGGAGGGAGGGAGGGAGGGAGGGAGGGAGAGAGAGAGAGAGAGAGAGAGAGAGAGAGAGAGAGAGAGAGAGAGAGAGAGAGAGAGAGAGAGAGAGACTAACCTCATAAGACTCCCAGCGCTCATAGCCTTCCTCAAAAGTCTCGTCAAGCCGGTCAATGTAGCAGACTTTCTTGTCCACATCTTTGTAGGCCACCATTTGCTGTACACAAAGGGGGGGAAAAAAAGTGATGCACACATTAGCTTGTCTTTACACAAAGCACAACAACATAATAATAGTGGCAGTGCAAGGAACTTCATGTGTATCATCCTGCCTAAACTAAGGTACTGAAAATTTGCCTTGCAACATCACCAGCGAAGTCTGCAAGCTAGGTATCATCACATGCATGATGCAAGAAGCCTGATTGCCAACTCATCAGATTTCGGATGAAGCGAACTAACTCACTATAATGTTGTCCTCCAACTAGCGATGGCAGTACCACTGCCCTTGATGTTGGGCAATCAGGGTTATGTAAATCACTAAATCTAGGGCAGCATTACTACCCTGTTATACAGCCAACTTACTGCTTGTTCCACTGTTGGTGTTTTAATATGGTATGAAAGTACAACATAAGTATACAACCAAACAGTGACACTTCCAACCATCAATTATACCTCCAGCCAAGGACACCTCTAACCATAAGTTCTACAACCTACCAGAGGCACCTCCAACCATCCATTATAAAGGTGGCTACCTCATATATAATAATAAATATAGGCATTGTCCTCTATACACAAAGGAATGTGGATTAAGAAATTAAAAAAAAAAATAAAAAAAAATCCCAACAATTGAAGAGAGCAGGGACAAAAAACTCACTCACCTGAAGAAATATGCGTGCATGCATGTTCGTGCAAATATGTAAGTGTAAGTACATATGTGTGAGCATGAGTTTCCATATATTGTGTGGAAAAAAGTTTTTAAAAATTGAAAATAGAAAATGTTGCCTTTCATTTTAATTCCATTTTAATCTAGACCATTCTTGTCAAAGGCAAACCTCCTTATTCTTGTGTTTAACACTTCTCTCACTGTCTTCATATCATGAAAATAAGAGACAACTTCATGAAAGCCTAGATGGTCAAGAGTGACATTTTATCACAATTAGAAGCAGACAAAATTAAACTGTCACAACAACGTTTTCTTTCACACTTTGTTTTGGCTTTCTAATCCAGCACCTAGACATAACAACTGTCATTTAGTGCTGGGGAAAGGCAAGATCGGAAGACCCTCTCATTGTCTCTAACATGGAATTATGAGACAAGTACATCGACGCCTGGATGCCCACAAGTGACATTTCACAATTCGAAGAATAGGATATATACAACTTAAGTCAAAGTGCAGAGAATCCATTGACCATCTCATGACTCCTGAAGTGCCAAACATTTTTTATGGCTCCTAACTCCGTTCATGTGGTGTCAAGTGTTACTGCCTCTATATATGCTTGGAAACAAATCCCAAGTGCAACACTGTTTGAAAATGTGTGTGTGTATGTGTGTGTGTGTGTGACAAATAGAGACAGCATGTGAGTGTAGACGAACAAAGAGCTTACCCTATTGTACTCGTGCAGCATCTCCATGGCATTGGCCTGAGAGGCTTCGTCACGGTCGTGCTGGACCTTGATCAGCTTGTTCATTTCATCCACATCCACGTTCTCTGGAAGGCGTCCCTTGCCATAGCGACACGACATGTGCTGGGGTACACAAGACATTCAAAAGGTCGGTGAAAAGGTAGCCATGAATACAGGGATTTTTGAAAGTGTAAAAGAAAATAATCTGGACTATCTTGCTCTACTTCTTTGTTGGGTGTACTTTTTTCCAGCATTATTTGCCTTTCGTCAAAGCCTTTAAAGAAATGATCGAATTCGAGTCATTTACAAACTGCTAAATGGGATGCGACTGCATTGAAACTCAAATACAGTCGAACCTGCCCTGACGGCCACCTCTATAAGACGGCCACTTTCCATTTCCCCCCTTGCGTTTTTTCTATATAATTTAACTGTGTAAAACGGGCACCTGTCCAAAGCGGCCGCGGCCACCATAATTTAACACACAACCCCTATCATACTAAGCAATAATGCCTGTCTAAGACGGTCACCTTAGTGACTCCATTCCATTACATTACGTTTTGTCATAAATTGTGCATTGGCCCCTGGCGTTGTGGGCGAGCCGTCATAATTCAATCACCTGTCGTTGTTGTTCGGCAGTCCCTCAAACCGATCATGTTGTGTAGGCCCCTCCCACTGTAGACCAATAGCTACCAATTTTCAGCTGCTGGTGAGGTAAGCGTGTGATCCCTCATAACCCATAAGCCCCGCCCAGAATTCATACACAAATATTAAGTGACTGTTTACCGAGTCTGTAACAAAGTAACAAAGGACGTCAACATGAACTTGTTACCGAAGCGTCGCTCGTTCTCCGACCCATGTGTTCGTTTTAACATGGCACGCGGTCTTCCTTGTCTGATACATTTCGTTTTATTGTCACCCTTGTGCAAAATCAGCGACAAAATAAAAATTACAAACGAAATACAAACCAACAACAACAACACCAACAAAGACAACATAATGGGTTACTTTCGATTGGGGCCTCAGATGGGAATGGTTTGTTTTCTTTATCTTGATCAGTCCTGCCTAAGACGGCCACCTGCCTTATACGGCCACCTGCCTTATACGGCCACCTGCCTTATACGGCCACCTGCCTTATACGGCCACTTTTCTCCTTGACAATGGGTGGCCGTCTTACACAGGTTTGACTGTACATACATGTCCCTGGGCCACTTAAATGGTGATTTTGTTTTATACAAACATTTTAGTTTGTATAAACCAAAATGGCCATAACACGAATAGAATACGTAAAAAATCCCCAGTGTACAGTAGGCCTACTCACCTTATCACCATGTCATCGACAGATTCATGCTTGACGATGTTGTAGGCCTGAGCTCACTAACCACTCTCAGCCAAGTAAGACATACATACAGAAACAACAGAGGGAAAGAAAAGAAATAGGACCTTTCAGAGGTATCCTCCAGTCAGTTTCACTGGACAAAATAAGACGAAATAGAGAAATAGACAGAAATCACAGTGAAGTACCACCTGCAAATGGCAGCCTACAAACACCCAAAACAAGAAAGCAGAAAGAATCCTCCAGACAGATAGAAACAATGAGAGGGAAGAAAAAAATCATGACCAACCAGCGGTACCCTTCAACCGCCCACTGGCGGGCACTGAGTTGATATTGTGCTGATAAGAGATAAAAAGTCATCCTCCCACATTAGGAACATAAGAACAAAGCAACTTCCCACAAGAGATCACTCACCCTGCGGTGGTGTTTTCGCAGACGGTGGACCAGGGCCATTGTGCCCAGGGCAGCAACAGCCACGATGATCACCAGGGAAATCCCGCAGATGATCCGCCTGGCACGCTGCCTCTTGCAGTCCCTGCGGTGGCTCTGGACCCTGCGATCTGTCTCCACATTGATGACGGCCGGGAACTCAAGGCCATCACCCTTCTCGGGGAGCGGCTGGAATTAACACAAGCATATATTGCAGATTTCGCAGCAACAACTTGTCTGATGACCTGTCTATATACGCCAGGACTATGTAGCTCCTCTCATTAAAAAACACCCTCCAAGTTTTTTCAAGTACGCACAAACCAACACTATGCACTATCCAACATTGAAATAATAACACTGGGGTAATATCCAGGTGAACTTTCCTGTCACTCTCTAGGGGGGGACCAATAAAGAGTTTGGAAACAAATAACATGAGAAGACTGATTGAAAAATGTCTCAAGTCTTAACTCAATCTAGATCATTTAGGAGGAGGCAACCTAAGCTGCTGTGCTGATCCTGCCAGTCAGGCCTGATCCTAGTTCATTGGGATATAATATGGCATCCCAGTCAACAAGACAGACAAGGTCAATTAAAAAAAAAAATCTTCACACTGGAATTCAACTTGAACTCACATCTTCAGCATGCAGTGAAACAGTATCATTACAGAAACCTTTTAGTTTTATCTCTTGAAACTAATGCTTTTGTGGGCCACTAAAAAATGCTAAAATTTTCATGTGTTTACAGTGTATACAGTGTATGTAAACAGACAATCATGTCTCTTTCACAAAATTACAGGAAGTCTTATATCACATACACTGTGATGAATTGCAACATGGACGAAAATACTCCTCAGTCAGTATAATGGCCCTCCTCTGTTCCCTAAGGAGAAGTTGGAAAACTGTAAGACCCAGAGAGAAACACCCAATGGGAGAAATTCCACAGGATCAAACCTACACTGCATAAACTCAAATGAGTATTATTATACAATACATATATTCAGAAGTTTGACTGGTATTGGGAGACTATTAACTAGATGGATTTGCCAGAAAGACGCCCAACATTCTTCTGTGAAGACAAAAATTTATTAAGGTACAACTTTAGACAATGTGTCCTCTCTTGCACAATATTATTACAGTTCTTAACAGTTGAGCATCATACTAAAGAGGGCAGAGATACACAATAGTGTGGAATTTCGGTACATTTTTAATATATCACTCCCACATGCAGATGCACTACTAATATGGGCCACATCAATATATTTTTGGCTGCCAAACACATGGCCACTAATAAAACTGTCCCAAATCAATTGTTATTTTTTGGGGGGGTTCTAGACATAATTAACTTGAGACTCGATTCGGCTTCACAGGTGATGTACAAAATAACTTCATATATAAGCATATAACCATGACTCAAAACGTAGCATATGATATATATCAAATTGAAGGAAATTTAATTTATTATAAGGAATACATTCCAACATGAAACAAGGATTTATTTTGAACATAAGTATGCATTACAAGGGTTAGAAATGTCGATGGCTGTGAGAAAAATACATTTTGACAGTAAAAATTACACACACTAAGCATGTGAAAGCGAATCAGCGTAGCTATCTTATACAGGCCAAGAGCAGACTCCATAAATTTCCGAATGTGCCACTTTTTATTTGACGCAATATTCCAATTTTTGTTTGAGTTATGATATTTATACTGTGAGTCCGGTCAGATCGTATTGTTGATGGAAGACCGCAAGAACCAATTCACTCGTTTTTCTCCAGACCGACGGTTTGACAAAGTGAATCTAGATGTTTTCCTTTCCTAAACCCTTTCTATTCTAAGTTTTCAATAACAATAAAAAAGTACTTATAAATAATTGACCATATTAAAACGCAACAAAACTGAGGTACCCCATCGTAGCCGATATATCGGCGATACGTCCGGAAAGAGTTAAGAAAATCCCAATCCTTATAGTAAATCATCAAATCATGACACATACATTGGTGGTGCACGCCCCCCTGACACTCTCAAAGATTCATAAAACTCAGGATGCATCCCCTGAAACTCCCAAAAAAAACAAAAAAACTTAAGTAATTCACTTTATCTTTCACTTGGCCACAAATAACCTTGTCTGGTAGGATACCATGTTCTTGAAAAAACAGTTGGCTACACTTTCATTGTCATTTTGGTAAAATTTTGCGACTGTTATACAAAGTTATCAGAAAAACAAAAAATGCAGGCCACATGTCCACCGCATGTGAAATTAAGTAATGCAACAATAGAATTAGAGTATATTCCAAACAAAAACAATTCTCAAAACTAATATATTGCAAAGGGATGTAAAGTTGACATTGGTGGTAATTTAAAGGACAAAAATGAAACCCAAAAAAGCAAAGTTTAATCGGTGTGAGTATTTTCACCCGTGGTGAGAATACTCCACATATTATTCTCAACCCTTTTTTTCCGCTTCCGCCCTTTTTATTTCGTTTAGGTTTTGAGAATCAATTACAGAAATTATGGGATGTTGGGATTCAACACAGATTATCTGTTGACTGTTATAGATCTAGATTCTAGATCTAACTCACAAAAAAATCAGTGAAAAATCCCCCCCCCCCAGCAGTATCCCAACTGTTTTTCAGTCTTTCAATACAATCCCTAGAGAGCCTCAAGGCCTTGTGCACAGCTTACACCAGTTCAAAAGACATTCAACAGAAATCACATAGACATCTTCATCTGAAATTTCCTTCTCACTGGTTTCAGTAAAATTATCCTCTAAACTGCTCATTGCCGTAATTTTTGGTGAAAATGAAAGAATAACAACATTACAATGCGATAGTTGCCATAGTTGTCGAAGCCCACAAAACCTGGCCATTTTGCAATTCCAAACAACTTGGCCAGGTTTTGCGGGTTTTGACAACTACCTGAAGTATTGAGCATCTGAATTCATCTGCCACGCAGTCAAGTGGTTCAGGGGATGGTGTAATCATTACACTCTCTTATTTCACAAATTTCTATCATCCTATTACATGTATTTAGGTTAGGCCTACCTATTCTCAACACTCAATAAAATCAATCGTATTCTCAGACCGGTTGAGAGTAACAATATAATTATTCTCACCCGCCAACAGAGATATGAGAATAACAGCAGCTAAGTTTAATACATTACTCGATACCCAGCATGCGACAAGAATAATTAACACTCGCCCTGCGGGAGCCGGGTTTACGTTACCCGGAGTGTATTTTTGCACCTCGCCTCTGTCCGGTCCCGTATCAGTCCGTCCCTGGCTTAGCGCACGCACCCTGAGCATCATCAGCATGACCGGGTCTCGTATTCCTACAGCTCAAGTTTGTGTGCGTTAGTCTGCGTGAGTTTGCATGCATTTGTGGCCTACTTTTAGAACCACCTGCGTTGGTTCGTAACCGAGGTGTATACATCTCATTCAAAACACGTTAAGTTGGTAGCTCTATGTTTGTCCAATGATATTAGAACAAATTGATCAACTTGGACATGAGGAGCTGGGAAGAATAGTCAGGAAACAAAACTTCCATTCTTGTGTATTCAAAACCTTTCCTGATAAAAATAAGCTTATTATTTATTAGTTTTGAAACAATTTTTAACAAGGCCACCTCTATTCTCACCCGGAGTGAGAATAGTGCAGGCGAGTCTTGTGGCTATTCTCACCCGGTGCGCGTTCACCAAATTTTGCGTTCACCCTAAACCACAGAATTCTGCACTGTGATAACAGAAAAATTGTAGAATTCTGTGCCGTGAACAAATGTTCCATTACAACTGTAGCCTACTAAAAACGTACAATTTTGTCTGTGGGCAGTGGAAAGAGAGAGAGAAAGAGAGAGAGGAGTAGCGCGAGAATTTGCGGGCAAAACAAAATGGCGACCCGCGTAGTTCGGCTCGATTCGAAAAGTTACATAGCCGTAGCATCTTTGTAGACAACCAAATTAATTTACTTTTTTGTGTTTTAACATCATTTTTTAACTTTGTTTTGGTCAATTTGATCGTCCACACCGATAGACAGTATTCAGAAAGAGACAGAGAGAGAGAGAAGAGGGGAGGAGTTGATCTTGCGAGAACTTCCGGGCGGGTGAGAATAGCCACTTTTTCTTTTAACAATCCCCGCAGGAGCCTAGAAAAATCGGCCAGCGCTCTGGGGCAGGTCACGAACGGTCACTCTCTTACAATTCACAAATTATTTTCTATCATCGTTCTCAACACCCAGGTAGACCTAAAATTCCATTGCATTCTCAGACCGGTGAGAATAATAAAGCCACTAAAACTGTCGCAAATCAATTATTTTCAAGATCTAGATCTAGATCTAGATCTAGATCTAGATTTCTAGATCTAGACTAGAATTTAGTAAAGTAGTACAGACTAAGAAATATAGAGCCATATTTAGCGTGCCTATCCATTAATCAAATTACAATACTACAGGTCTAGTATCAGTAACTGTACAACAGTGTGCAGTGAGACATCCTGAGGAGATCGATTCTGATGGTTGTGTCTGGAGTCAGAGACAGTGGACAACGACAACGGCACAACAAACACTGGATTCTAGATCTAGATTAGATAGATAGACCTACCTCATCACTGACAGTCTGCAGTGGCTCTTTTCCAGCAAGGTTGACTTTTGGGGGCGACATTTTGATATTCGGGATTCAAAGCCCAGTTTCCTAAATCAAATCTTGCTGAATGTCTGAAGTTGTAACAGGAAAATGACACAGCTGATTTCCTTCCGTCTTCCCTGTTTATATTTTTCCTCAGGATGTAAGCCAGGTAGCTTTTCCCGTGTCAAGTTTCTACTGTTCCTGGATTGTTTGTGTTGCAATTATGATTTTTAAAATTGCATAAAAGCTATCAGGAACAAATTTTTATTGTTTTATAACTATTTGTTCAAAGTTTTAAATGAATATTGTGTTACATATCACTTAGGACTGTTCTGTACTCCTCGATCGACTGTAACAAAAATAACCTTAAATAATCCTATCTGACAAGTCAGAGTGAACCCATGCGTATCTGGTCACATGACCAGCTCCTCCCCTCCTGGGATCCGGCTTCTCATACAATCGTTTTATAACATGGGATTGTGACGTCAATTCGTATCAATAGACGTGAGGAAGAAAACGATCCAAGCTTTTCTTTTCTTAAAATTTTTTTTTTTTTAAACCTTCACTTTTCATTTAAAAGATATTCAAAATCAACCTTTCATGGAAATAGAAAAGGAGGAATATAACTACATCTAGATCTGGATCAGACTGTGTACGTTTGGCAGTGGGCCAATAATGAAAAGTTACTTATTAAAATAATATTATTTCATTACTAGATCTAGATCTAGATCTAGATCTAGATGTTCTATTAAAAAAATTTATTGTTGGAATTGCTTTCGACGTAGGCCCAGACTCGCCTATGTTCGCCTATTTTCTGTTTGAAATGTTTAGTGTTGAAGCGTTTTAAGTTTCGCAAATAGGACGTATTGAAACAAGCAGACGTCTCGTCTGACCCATGCCCATGAAATACGCTGCACATAATGTAGAGGTACATTATTATTAAATTATAGCCTATCAGCCAGTTATTCGCCCCTCCCCCCGTTATACGCAATTCCATGTAGGCCAAGGAGCTTTAGTTTTGAAGTTAGAACTTACAATTTCCTTGATGTAGACTTTACGGCCGATCCTATGCACGCACACCTATACGTACGTCATGTATGTGCACGCATGCGTTGTCTCTTTTAATAGCTCGCTCCTGACATGTCTTTAGACGTTAGAACTTATAACTTCCTTGGTGTAGACCTAGGCATCTCCAACTCCATCCTAACAAAAAAAAAAAATAAAAAAATAAAACACCCCCCCCCCCCCCCCCCTTTTTTGTAGAAATTAATAACTCGCCCCAGACATGTCTTTAGCAGGCCTGACCAGAGACTGTAAACCCTGTAGGCCTGACACTGCCTGTAGGCCTAGGTTACGTCACAATATTATGTGCACGCATGGGCTGCCTCTTTTAATAGCTCGCCCCACTCATGTCAAAGATTCTCGAACGGCAATTGAAACATATCTTGGAAGCAGAAAATCTTTGGTCATGGTAGCAGGCCTGATCCGAGACAGTAAATATTTATTTATTTTCCGCACAATTTACCGATCGGCTTAAGATTGCGCAGCGCATTTTAATGATCGTATATTTGCGCGGCAATCTATAGATTGCGTTAATATTTTATGTTTTTGAAATATATTTTAACAAATTCACTTCCATCTTTATTCTTTTACTCACATAAAGGAAAATATTATTCACACATAGATCTATATCTAGATCTATTTTCAAAATTGTAAAAATATGAAAATAAAAATAAAAATAAAAAGTTTAACGCATGGAACTGAAGAGCTCACAAGAATGATACAATGCTAGGTATCAGACTCAAAGTTCACAGTACATTTAATTAATATATATATATATATATATATATATATATATATATATATATATATATATATAATTTCATAATTTTTTGAAATAATCTTTTTTTGGTAAAAATTCACTTCCATCTTTCATCTTTTACTCACATCAAGGAAAATTCGTAATAATAGATCTATATTTTCAAAAGTGTAAAAATATGAACATTGAAATTAAGATTAAAATTATCGTAAGAAACTGAAGAACCCACAAGAATGATACAATGCCAGGTATTAAACTCAAAGTTCACAAAGTACATTTAATTTATTTTATATTAAAATTTTTTTTTTTTTTAACCACTTCCATCTTTCTTCTAAGCATACTCACATCAAGGAACATATTCACGTATATTTTCTAAGGTGTAATTTAAAATATGAAAATTTAAATTAAGATTGAAATTAAGATATGAAATTGAAGAGCTCACAAGAATGATACAAAATATATTATACGATCGTTAAAACGCGCAGCGCGCTGATTGGTTTAAATTACGTGGAACATGTAATTATAATCATTGGGCCAGACTTCGTTTGATTAGACATGGTACAGTACATTATAAAGTAATCGTAATTATATGTCTTTGCGCGGGCATACTATGCGTGTAATTTGGGTGTCATACGAGTGAGTTTGTGTCACTGACCTAAAAAGGTCAGTGGTTGTGTATGTCATTATTGTTAATTTGAATAATATATGAGTTTGTGTGGCGTGTGCTTCTCGGTGAGTGTGGAATGAATGCGCGTTTATGTGCGTTAGGAATGTATTGCGTGTTTTTGCAAGCAGTATGTCTTACGAATAAGTAAGAGAACTTTCTTCCAGCTCTTTGCTTTTTGAGTTGTTATTATAAAACATGACATGGTAATGGAAGAAAAAAAAGTGACAACTTTTACTCCTGAGAGCCAAACAATGTGAAAATAATAATATTATATCAAGCTTCACGATACTCGCTCACATTTCAGTTACCCCATCCTCCAAGCACGCATGGTACATAATTTCTCCCAAATGCAAGTGAAACGACTTCGTCCCCACCACCCAGAAGAATTTAACGTACAACAAAGAGATGAAAGACAAATGTGACTCTTCTCGTTTGGATTGTTCTCAAAATGCTGTGGCTCGTCGTTAGTATAGAAAAACCATCACTGTTTTTGTTCTTACTGCTAGCTATTTGGTGGTAAAAAAAGTGAAAGCAACCTATGCCCCACCCAAATATTGGTCCACCCACAGCCACTGCATACGCGATGTAGGCCTATATATATATAAAAAACTGTAATAAAAAGAAATGTCAAAATGTTGGGCCTATTATAGTACATTTGAACTCCCAGCTGATGGTATATTTTATAGCTTTAACACTTAGATTAAACTATAATCAAACTTCATGCATAAATTATAGGTCTATAATTGAATACTTCGAAATTTGTCGTCATATTCGCTGCCAAAGTTGAATCGCCAATACTATTACTTTGGTGTCTAACTTGACTAACTTGACGTTGTACTAAGGCGCTATACATGTTCATGTATAAGTATACCGTGGGAAATACATTGTATTATATACCGATTATAAATTAAGTTGTATGTATACGAAACAGAAGATCACATTATTCTTTTTTTCAGGGAGCCTGCAAAAATACTTTTTTAAATTGAAAAACAAAGCCTTTCTTTAAACTGAAGTTAATTAAAAGGCTGAAGAGAAATATGGAGTCTGTCATACGTCATTTTATCGGTATATTATCATTAATTTATGTTCATGTTGATTTCTCAACCTTCTGGAAAATGTAAGCTTAGACAGTATCAACTGAGAAATTATGTGCATGCCTTCACAGACTTAGTCTATTTTAAAGACAGGTTTTAGTAGATCTTTCTGAAATAGAGGAGTTGGCTATCTTGTAAGGTACCTGGTATCGTTCAATAATCTTCGGCAACGCTCCAAGAATGTACAATGTATACATGTATGTATAGCGATATATTTATAGGCTATACCAACCACTATTATACGCCAAAGCTTTGGTGTGGTCTCTATTTGTGACTTTCTCTAATCTAAATAGAAGGTCCGGCAATTCTCATAAACCCAGGATTGTATGGACGATTTGAATGATTGAACCAGTGTCAGATGTTTACTGCACGCATGGTTTATTGGCCACTCACTGGGTTTTATGACTCCGTTCGTGTTTACATAGTCTTTGACCTCACGTCCCATATACGTGTTGCCTGTTTCATTATTTGTGGTGTTGCGCGATACCTCGATGCCTGTAGGCCTAGGTTACGTCACAATATTATGTGCACGCATGGGCTGCCTCTTTTAATAGCTCGCCCCACTCATGTCAAAGATTCTCGAACGGCAATTGAAACATATCTTGGAAGCAGAAAATCTTTGGTCATGGTAGCAGGCCTGACCCGAGACAGTAAATATTTATTTATTTTCCGCACAATTTACCGATCGGCTTAAGATTGCGCAGCGCATTTTAATGATCGTATATTTGCGCGGCAATCTATAGATTGCGTTAATATTTTATGTTTTTGAAATATATTTTAACAAATTCACTTCCATCTTTATTCTTTTACTCACATCAAGGAAAATATTATTCACACATAGATCTATATCTAGATCTATTTTCAAAATTGTAAAAATATGAAAATAAAAATAAAAAAAAAAAGTTTAACGCATGGAACTGAAGAGCTCACAAGAATGATACAATGCTAGGTATCAGACTCAAAGTTC